GGGCCACCTTGGAAACAGCAAAGGACTGGCCTATGGTGCCTCTGCCAGTGAAAATGGAACTCCGGTGTGTGTGTGTGTGTGTGTGTGTGACACATTTTTAGCTGGCAAAGAGTTGTAGGAGGCAGTCGCAGCCAGAAACACTCATAAGCCCATTTTCGCTGGCAGAGCATTCAGGTCCCCAATAGAAATGATGTTGACACCCACCCCAGCCCGCCAAGCTCAAACACAACCCTGATGTGACCTCAATGAAAATGAGTTTGACACCCCTGTTCTATACCCTTATCTAAGTCATTGATGAAGATATTGAAGAGTACTGGGCCTAAGACAGAACCTTGTGGTACCCCACTGCTTACTTTCCTCCACGTGAATTCATACCATTAAGGACTATTTGTTGAGTATGGTTTGTCAGCCAGTTATGAATTCATCTGGTAGTGATGCTATCTATCCCACTTTGATCTAGCTTACCAAGAAGTAGGTTGTGGTCTACTTTGTCAAATGTCTTGCTGAAGTCTAAATCCATAGCATTTTGCTGCTCCACTAATTTACCCACTTTGCCAAAGATTGAAATAAGATTGGTTTGGCATGATCTTTTTTCAACAAACCTGTGCTGGCTATTAGTTATCATTTTATTTGTTTCTAGATGTTCACAGGTCTATTTTTTGATTATTTTTTCCAGTATCTTCCCAGGTATCAATGATAGGCTGATTGGTCTGTAGTTTCTTGGGTCCATTTTTTTTTCCTTTTCTGATGATAGCAACCACATTAGTTCTTTTCCAATCTCCAATGCTCCAAGATTTTTTAAAGATATGATACAATAGTTATGAGATAACATCTGCCAGCTCTTTCAGAACTCTGGGATGTAATCCATCAGGTTCCAGTGAATTATATTCATCAAGGTCAGACAGGTGTTCTCTTACCATTTTCTTGCTTTAATGTTTATTTCTAGTATGTGTTTTACAGTTATGTTTTTGGTAGATTGGATAATAGTTTCCTTTTGTGTGAAGACTTATGCAAATAATGAGTTAAGCAGCTCTGCTTGCAGAGGTTTCGGCATCATTTCATCAGTTAAAGTCCCCACATCTCTAAATTTAGCGCAGAAGATTTGACTGTTACAATTCTGGGACATTTTGTCAGGCTTGAAAGGCATAGATTTTCTCCATGTATACATGTGTTGGCTGATGTATCTGTATTTCTTTCTGTAGGGATATGTCTGCAATTATATAATCTATCCCCAGCACTTGAAGATATAATTGATGATAGTCCTTTGCATTGCTAGGAATTTGTGATTGACCCAACTAAACAACTGAATTTGATTGAATGGATATTTGAACATGGATCTCAGTAGTCTTCCATGTGTCAAATGAATCATAAATAAGGCAAGAGACTATTCTAGCATTGGGACATGTTTTCTTTTTCATTGTGATTTATATATATTTTTTCTTTTTTCCCATCATCTCTAAGCATTTTATTAACAAAGTTCCACTTTTCTTTAAATCCTACAGACAAACAATAAGTGCACTCGGGACAACTGTAAATAACAAGCAATGTTGAAAAGGGAAGAAAATCAAGCCAGAAATCAAAATATTTTTCATTTCCTTCAGTAAACCACACAATTCGACTCCTTCTCTAGCAGTTGTTAGACAAATGAGAGAAAACCAATTTCAAGCTGGAATAAGCAGATTATGCAGAACTCAAGGATACATTACATTAAAAATCATTTTTTATTCAGCAAAAGAGGGAAATATCTGGGTCTGTGGGGAGGAAAAGGTCAATAGTAAAGCCATGTAGACAGTAATGGAGGCCTCTCCTTGTGAGGAAGAAATGGCTTGAATGGAAGCACCACTAAACAAGGCATTGTAAGAATTCCAAGGAGAAACCGTGTAAGTGTCTAGATTGTGAGAAAAGCTTCATTAGAAATTTCCATCTTAAGAGACACCACAGAACTAAATCAGAATAGAAACTGTTTGAATGTCCTGATTATGGGAAAGTCACAATTCCAGCCTGGTGATACA